TCAAATATTCCTTAGTGCACCTTTAAAGTTTGTTACCTACATGAGAATAGCTGTTAGGTTAACTGGCTACTTGAATAATAGCATTCTGTTTAAAGGCACAGACATTTAAAGTTACCTAATTGTCCCTGTAATGTCTCAGTAATGTAGTATTCAGGCCTGAAAATGAAAGTTTCTTGGGTTGACTATACTTTTCTAAACTTTGAGCTCAAATATAAAAGTATCTAAATTCTAAACCCTGTGCCACATTTCAAGTTGAAGGCCTCCTCAGATCATCTTTTTTTTTTTTTAAAGAGTAATAAGGAAACTCAGGGCATGGTAGGTCTAGAATTGCGATTAGAGCTTAGCTAATGCACGCACGTAAATTGGAATGTGACATTGTGCCCTATGATCTAATGTAATAATGTGGATATAGAGAGAGAGAGATAGTGAGAGAAAGGGAGGCAGGGCATAGAAAGCCCTATTCTGTTACTGTCACTTACAAATGGGTTTCAAGTGTTCCTTCAAGGGTTATACATTTACAGCATTTACGTATTTGAACAGTGTTAATATTTACATTTTTAACATTTCAAGTTGTATCAGTTAATGAACTATGAATGATCATGAATTATTTACAGACAAGTATATTTATAAATTAAGGCAAACTTTGATAAAAGCTGTAAAAAATATGTTGTTTATTATTATTTCACATAATGCAAATGCTAAGTTCATGATACTAATATTAGCAAATTTTGTTATTCAAGGTTCAAGATTATTGTTAATTGTTATTGCTTTCACTCCAGTGCAATTTCGTTTTCAAGCACCGATCATTTACTAGTGTTGTGAGTAAGTCATCTTGTAGGAATAGATTTATTTTCTGTAACAAAGATCCTTTAAGTGCTTTACTATATTTCAAGTGTACCAAATGGGCTATTGAGACTTTTTTATATACTTCTCACTCCTTTATTTACACTCAAATTGAAATTGAAATTGAAATTAAGTAGATGTGAATAGGGCACTATAGAGTAGGTTTTGTTGCTTTGTTTTAAAAAACAAAACAAAAAGTACTACTGCTTTGCACATGGCTCACTGTATGTGAATCATTTTGTTTAGTCAGAACTTTCTTTTAAGCCCAAGAGTGCGTTTTATAACCCATCTGAGTATATTAAGAATTTTAAAATGCAGCACATTTTGAACAAGCAAGGGCCACAGTGTTACTCTGCAGTTCCTCATAGCTCTGAGAGTGACTCTGCTCTACTGAAAAGCTTTTCCTCCTCAGTGGAGGTGAAAATACCATTTGGCAGTGTCGTTACGGCAAGCCGAGCATTGCAGAATGACCTTGTCTGGTCAGTTTGGTGACATAATGGGAAGTAGAGGCGAGAAGAGACTGGATATTGCACCCTGTGGTACGGAAGATCAGAAAAAGAAGCTGTTTAGTTTCACTTCCCTTCATGTTGGGTGGCAGCAATGGCCTGACAGACACTTAAAAATACCTTTTGTGGTTCGGCTTGTCTTCCACAGCAGGACAGTGGCTCCGGGATACATTTGGTGTCTGCGACTCCCTTGCTTAGCAGAAGCTGGTACGTGAAACTGTCACTGCGGTTCACAGGGGGTTTTCATTTGTGGTGTCCCTGCTGCGACCTCTGCAAGCTTTCCGTCTTCTCTCTTTTGAGAAGTTGACATGTAATTCTAAAACTTTTAGACCATCTGATCTGCTCACTATTGGAGAGTCCCTTTACAGGCAAGGTTGAAAGTTACATAACTATCTTACTGTAGTCCATCGAGAATGAGACACGAAGGAAAGATGCCTATTGCTCATTTAAGAAACATCTTCTCAGAATCACAGGATCAGATTTGGGGAAAATCCCTAACACTCCCAAGGTGGATTTTTGTTATTATGTCTTGAGTAAACAAAGGATTTTTTCCTAACAGTGCCATAAAATCATAAATTGTAATCACTTACACTATAAATCAGTGCTGCAGTTCTTGACATTTACGATCTGTTAAATGGTTATAAAGTCAAATTTGATAGCTGCTTTTAAAGATCCAGCTTAAGTACATTTATGTGAGAGAGCCAGTTTTGTTTGAATGTTTTTTTTTCTTCTATGCTGGACGAGACTCGTAAGCAAAATTGGATGAGGAATTTTGCACTGAGCTGACTATGTAGGCAAAAATGAGTTTGCAGAGCAATAGCACTTCACTCAGTAAATTGTTTCATTACCTACAAGATAAAACTTGCAATGCAAAGATAGAACTGTGTATTTGAAATAGCAGCAGTTATATGCACTTACTGGATAAAATTAGTTGTTTATTAATGATACGAAAAATTTAATTACAGCCCAATATTTTTACTCATTTATTTAGTTTTACAGGGTTTATTTTAGTGTCTCAGTGATGAGATCTTTCTAATGATATGACAAGACTGTCTGATCTGTGTGATGCATTTGCTAATTCCTCATTTCATAAAGTAAAGTAAGCCGCAACAAGCTGTTGATTAATTGTTATTGATATCGGCCCAGAATTTTCACATCAGTGCATACTTTATGATTGTGGTGGATATTTTAACCTATCAAAACCCCTTTTACTCAGTTTTCCCTCATTATGGTTGATAAACACAAATCTCAGTTGGAATGCTGTGACTGTTAACTGGGGTGAAAGTGATGTTGTGACAAATGCATCCAGCTCTCATACTTTGTTTTCTTGTCTCTGAGCAACTCACTGTAACCTGACACAGACCCTGCATTAAATTGGAGGCAAACCAATTACAAGTAAAGAAGTTTTTGCTCCATTATTATCAGCAATGAATACCTATCTTTTTTAACTCTGTTTTTTGTTTGTTCAGATCAATGTGTCTCTTTGTTCAACTTTGATAACAGTGAGAAATGTTTCTTGAGCACAAAATCAGCATATCAGAATGATTTCTCAAGGATCATGTGACACTGAAGTCTGCAGTAATGGCTGTTTCAGGTATGCAAACACAGGAATATTTTGTATTTTAAAATATATTAAAAAGTGACAAATTTTGCAAGCAGGTAATCATTCAACAGACATGACATTAAAATGAATAGTACCACTGACACTGGGGTCCTGAGGGGAAAAGGAGGATAAGTACTTGCCTGCAGCCAGTGGAGCCTCTCCCAGCTACCTATTCAACATGCCCAACCCATCATTCTTTTAACATGTCGGTCCTTCCGGATTCTTTTCTATGTCCTAAACTTGAGGAGTTTTCCCAAGGACATGCATCTTTGTGTTTGAGGACATTAAAATGTCAGTATGTATATATGTTTTGGCTTTGTGACAAGAACCAGGCCGCAATTGCTCAGACAATTAATGGCTGTACAATCGTATTTTGCCACAGAGGCAAAATTGCATCATGAACCCGACAGATTCAGACCTCAAACTAGGTAAAAAAAATGTATACTGTTTACTAGTACATACTGTATCGGTGAGAGTAAGCGATGCTGTTATTGATATAACTGTGTGTGTGTAAAGGCAGCTGGTTATTGATTTTCTGTTTGGATATTTACCCTCATCTGTCAGAAAGCTTTGCATGGGTAAAGCTGTACAGACACAGGCAGAGGAAAGTGGGAGCATTTCCGAATGTGTCAAAGACCCTCACATTCAGACAGGTCCAGGATGTCAAATATTTATACAGAGAGTATAGCAGCTCCAAGACTGAGAGAACAAAGTATAATGGCTAACACCCAGCTGCATGTGCTGTTACATCACACGGTTTTTCTATACCTTCCCCTTTGTTTACACACACACACACACTGTCCCACATGTCTCTTGTCTACTAAAGGCATGTCCAGACATGCCCGCACTGGGGGGAGTAGCATCATAAAGAATGTCCCACTCTCACTCTCACACACATAAACAAACAAAGACCTACACACACACCATGTTTTTAAGAATAAAATGTTAAATATATACATCAGGTGGATATATTAGCAAATTCAATCAATATGAATAAAACTGTTAAATTTAATGTGTGCAAGTGCTACTGAAGTGGAGATTTTTGGCTTAGTGCAAGATAAACAACACATTTTGAGAAAGCAGCCTTTAAAGATATGTACTGTAATTGAAATACAGACAGAAATAGTTAAATTGTAATAAAACAAACACTTAAATTTGTGTTTGGATGTTTTCTTTCCACTAGTCTGAAAGAAAACAACCTATAAAAGCAAAATTGCCCCAAAATCCACCAGTACCTGAATTAACAATGGTTTTGCATATACAGTCGCGTCTTGCCTTAAAGACAGCATTTAAATTTTTTATTAAACAGTTTTCCTTAATGCAGGTGACTTTGTTTTATTATCCTTTTTGAAACGTTTGGCCCTTACATTTTGGCTCTTGTTTTACATTTTATTTGATATTTTGCTTTCTAACACATTGAAATTGAAACTCTGAAGTGTCCAAATACTTTTTGGGGTGACTGTACTCATGCCATTACTGAATTTACGTTTTGGCAAGAACATGTATTCTGTTAGCAATTTTAGGGTTTAATTTTTAGTATTTCTTCCAGTCAGAAGTGAATATATGATAGATTAAATATCTAAAAAACATGCTCATAAGGGACCAAGTCAAAGCTGTGCTGACTCTCAGTAGATTAGTTAACACTAATTTCCCACAGACAGACAGTGTGGGTATTACTTAATGGCTCCTGCAGGACCAATGTTCTCAAACTCTCTCCCCTACAATATTACATGCACTGCCCAATGCACAATTTAATGCATTAATGAGTTTATTCATTGGTCTGTTGGGTACATAAGCAGTTGTTGTGGAAACCGTCCAGAAATCAAGCCAAGCCACATATCAAATCACATTCATACTGACAAGAACATTCGCTTATACGTGCATCGGCAGACAGGGTGATTATTTTCCTTTGAGACTGAGCTGACACAGCATAAATGGATTACTGCACTAATGGGCATGTGGTCTGCTAGCATTTGCACTTGCATTTAGTGTTGTGATCAATAAATCACTCGCTGATGTTTCTCTGTCTCTTTTCCCTCTCATTCTAGGTTATCCATGACCTCAGATTTACAGCATTACAGTTTCAGGATGCCAAATATAGGGTTCCAGAACCTTCCTCTCAATATCTACATTGTGGTCTTTGGGACGGCCATTTTCGTCTTCATCCTCAGCCTACTCTTCTGCTGCTACCTGATTCGGTAAGACCACCAGGCTCTTCTATGTGTGCGGCAGCAGAATGTGTTTGGACAAGCCTCAAAATGCCATACATTTGCTTATTTATCCTCTTCAGCCAGTTACAGGGTTTGAAAGTCTGATTTAATCCCTAAATATACAGGCTACAAAACGGAATTGTTGTAATTAAACGGGTAACACACATTTAAGAGTAATTTGCATCATGATTTGTTTGAAAATTAATGAAAAAGGAAATCCACCTTGTATGAACAAGTGGGTGTAGTTGGAACGTGTGGTGTAGAGTGTTGCCATCAGGACCAATGTACGTCATTAAAGGCACAATTACACCACAAATATAAAAGTAACAGTTCTCTTTCATCTTCACACCGTGTTCATACCATGCGAGGCAGCTTTTATCATGCTTACTTTGAAGACTGAACCAAGTCTGAATTTCAGAGCCATGCTTTAATTATTAGTGGCTGTCCAATAAAGAAGTAGAGATAAATCTGCAAACTTCATTCATTTATACTTTTGCCAAGTACTGAGAAGCTAATCCTACACATTAACACAGTTTGTTGTTGTTTTGTTCTAATAGAGCTGTTCCGTTTCAGAATGGGTTCCCTCTGAAATGATGGAATTAGTTTTAGGTTTATGAGTAAAATAAGGTCTGATATTAGCATTTCATTATATAGACTTCTCTGTAAATTACACTGTCATACCGTAATGTGATTTTTATTTATTCATTTATATTTTTAAAATACACATTCAGTCCAATTCCCATGGGAGCCCATGGCAAATTAGCCTTTCCAGGTTGGTCTACAAACCATGTCTTGATGGCATGCCTGAACAGCTCTACTGCAAAACAGCATTTTCTTGGGGATGGTGTCTTCAGCTTGTAAATGAAATCCTAAGCTTCTGAAATTCCTAAATAAGCGATGATCAGGACAGAAAGGCAATTGTTTGGCATTTTGAAGGAAGATCATGATTACTTGTTGCTGAAATGGTTTTGTTACTTTCAATTTTTTTTGTTCGATGCACTAACAAAGATTTTCATGAAGAGTGAGAAGGTCAAACAGCACAGTTTGGAGAAGCTAAGAAAACTACTGACTTGATAATCTGAATTTAAAATAAAAAACACCGTTACGAGCTTTCCCCTGCTTGGATTTGGCTGGTAGTTTCCATGTAGATGGATATAAAGCTTCTTATTTTCACAATAACTGAACCCAAAGCAGCTTAGTTGCCCGATCACAAATCAATGCATTTTCAACCTCGAGGAAACTACATTGTGTCACAAACTTCCCTTATTGATTGAGTGAACTCTACAGCAGCTGCTTCACAACTTGAAGGACATTGATTTTTTTTTACTTTTCAAGAGAGAATGAACCTGGCAATGAGCAAACACAGAAATGGGAATATTTGGTCCTTCATGAAGCTTAAGAAACTCTTTTTCCTTCAGCTATTGAGCTGCTGTCATGTAGTCAGATTTGTCCTGAGCACAGCCATGTGGTCATTCCTTGCAGCAGAGATACTGAAGCTTTAATGTGCAATTCTGTAGCATCTCTTATATAAGACAGTGAGAGCCAGCGGCTCTCATCCAAATTCACCCTAACCAGTGGGGAAGATGGTAAGTTCTTTCCCATTTATTATAAACTAGTTCTGTTTTATTTGACTTTGCCTCCCCCATTATTGTATTTTCAAATGTTTACCTGTATTGGTAGCCTTTTATAGTCTTATATTAGTCATACCAGTAAAAAAAAACACTAGATTCTTGAATGAAAAACTGTCAGATTACCAAGTCATTTATAAACAAGTTTGTATTTAGCCCAGATTCCAAGCTTCTAAAGATGCAGTCTCCCTTGCATGTAATTAGTTCACAAATATTCATAACTTCCTCACTGAATTACCAGCAAACATTTGTTATGCCCCCATGCACAAACAGTATGTGGCCCCTAAAAACATTTCAGGGGCACTTAAAAATGCATTAACGTCATTTAAATAATAATTAATTACTAAAATGTCAAAATAACTGGTATTTATTTTATAAATAAAATACTGCACAAGTACACTTTTCACCTACAACATTTCACAAAATATGTTAGTGCGGCCACTGTACATCTGAAAACCAGCTCTGAAATATTTATACTGTACATTACACCAGCAGGGGATAATGGAAATGACAACAATCACAAATTCAGCAAGTACCAAAATAGTAGGCCACCATTCTGCCTAGCTGCATTTTCCACTACATTTTTATCTTGCTATTTTTCACCTCCACGTATACCTTCAGCATTGTTGAAACGATAGGGGAGAACACAGAGTGCTTAATACACAGCTTTTTTACATGATTTAACAGTTGCTTTTGACAGGATGGAGACGTCCCTAATGAGAAGACCAGCATATGTTGTGTTTGGTTACTGGTTGTCTGTATGCTATTGTACCCACCAGGGTTCTTACTGAAAATGAATTTTCTGTCATTTATTCACCCTCAAGGCATTTCAAACCTGCATGACTTTCTTCCTGTAGAATACAAAAAGTGTATTTTTAAAGAATATCTTGGCTACTCTTTTTAATACAATGAAAGTGATTGAGGACTGGTGCTGTCAAGCCGAAAATGGCAAATAATCAGACTGATCCAGTCACGTTGATCTGGCCAGTGTGCTAAACGGCTCACTAAACATACATTTCAGCCTTTTCTATACCAAATCTACTGTATGGCTTCAGAAGACTTGGAATATAGTTGTTTGGACCACATCTAAGGTAATTTTATAGTTCTTTTGTGTCCTTTATGAAGCTTGAAAGCTCCAGTCCCATTTCATTGTGAATGCACTGAACAAGGCGACCAGTACATTATTAAAAATATTTCCCTGTTTTCCACAGAAGAAAGAAAGTAATGTGGTTTTTAAAACATGAGGGTGAGTAAATGATAACAGAATTTTCCTTTTAGGTGAAACTAACCCTCCTATTATCTTAACTAGTTATGGCTATACTGGTCCACCAGCTAGACAAGCATGAAGTTGGTCTTTTCAGCAGGGATTCCTATGTAAAAGACGCTTTCCTTTTAAATTCCTTATGAAATGATAGAGATCTAGAGCTGGTCTCTTGACCTGTTTAGTTAAACTGCTATTTTATCAGGAAAATCATAGACTGAATAAAGGACCATCCGATTGTAGTCGTGCGACATTCACAACGTGAGAGTCGTGAGCTCAAGTGGACCTGTGAAGGATGTCGTGATTGAGAGCAAACACACGCAGCCGCACGTAGCAGCCATGTACCAGCTCTGACACACAAATGCGAAATGCCCCTGTGACTGGCGAACACACACATGGAGAAGAAAACAGCCGGGTGGGGGAGTGTTTGTCTGGCGCAGTCATCCTCATGGGAAGAAAATCGAAATTCACACACACGTCTGAGATTGAGCACTTACTGTGACATGTTAATAGCTGTACCAGTTATTTTACAATGCAGGGAAATGGTTATAAGGTGGTTTTCTACGTGATGAACTGGAACACTACCCTAATGGTGCGTGAGCAATCATGACTGCCTGTAGTTTGTCAAACGACAGTGTATCTTGACCTAGCCGACCTCAGGAAGGAACTACACGGTACGATTTTGGCCAAGATTATGAAACATGAATATCTTGTTATTTTGCGTTCCCATCACGTTATGATCGTATTTTTGCTTTGAAGAACGAATGGTCCTTGACTACTTTCACCCAGCCCCCACAGACTGGGTGCTATTCACACAAAACACATTTTTGCATTCCACTTCACTGCATTTCCATTGTTTTCCTTTGTAAATATGCAGTAGGTGGACATGTGTGTCCATTGCATCTTTTGCAGTGTCTTATGCATGACATGGCATTCTAAAAATGCGTCGTTTACTTAAGGTAAAAAAGTTCAGCTTTTTTCATACCAGTGTGCCGCGTTGTGCATTTTTAAACGCAAAAACACATTCTTTTGAGTGGCCCTTTAGACGTCAACATTAGTGCCAGGGCTTTTTTTGGTTTTGATTAGTTTTTGCATGCCAATGAGTATAAACATAAAAAATGTCCTAAAATACCCATAAATCCCTCATCCTCACCCCTAAATCCTCCCAAAGGGAGAATCTGCACCTTTACCTGCTGGTCTCTTACAGAATGTCAGTTTCTCTCCTAGACTGTGCTGCCTGTTTTACAGGTCCCTCTCACTCTGCTGCGAGAGGTAATTTTACAATACATGTCTCCATTTTTCTCATATCTATCCAACTCTTTCTTCACTTGCTAAGTCTTTTCTGAATGTATACTGTATTATCTTTGATCAGATTTCAAGATACTGCGGTATCGTATGTTGTGTTCATTTCCTTTGTACAGGAAGTAATATTGGTTGAAATTATGTCATATCTTTCAGAGCATCTAAATGAAAAGGGTTTCAGCAAAACAAACATTAAAAAAGGCCATGATGAATGTCTTGTAAAGCTGTTGGACTAGGACTAATGTTCTAACAGCTCTAGTACAGACATTAACAGTTCAGTGTTAACAAATTAGAGGCTAAACATAGTGTGTGAGGCATTTGCTGATTTTCTTTAAATAGCATTTTTCTTACACCAGAGACTCTTGCATCATGCCTGATGCATTCCAGTTATTTTCCATCAGGGTTCCTCTCTCACTCTCTCTCTCTCTCTCTCTCTCTCTCTCTCTCTCTCTCTCTGTGACACTCTCTCTCTATATCAA